GTCGCCCATCTTGGCTGCTAAACCACCCAAATTTCAAAATAAACAAAAAATAATCAGCAAGAGGCATGGTATAATAACTAATCTCAAACTTGTGCAACCCCATGGCCTTGGCCTGTCTGTCACTTATTTACAGACAGCATTGTTCCTACGATTCAATTCAGCGAAAACAAATGCGCTAACAGGCACAGTGCAGCTAGATTCAGTGTCAAATTTGAACAGTCAAGACATGTTGTAGCAGTAGTAGAATCAAGAACAGTCAAGACATTGCTATAACGCGGCAAACAAATCTGCAACGAACGGAAATGCATCTACGGGCAATGAAAAACATATCGTAGGAGAACAAGAAGAAGAGTTCATCGGTCAGAATCTCATTTCTTGCCACTAGGGTGGGTGCATGTAGCTCAGTCAGACGACCTTCCAGGCACCGCGCAGCTAGATTCAGTGTCAAATTTGGACAGCCAACAAGCTCTTTTTGGAGAGAGAAAAAAAATCTCATTCTACTAGCAGCTAGCAAATCTGCACCGAGCGAATGTGCCTACGCGTTGACTGACGGGCCGGGGGATCTCTGGCGGCCGGCGGCCGGGGAAGCGGAGGAAACGAAGACGGAGGGGTGGGAGAGCTCACCGCGGCGGGTTCCGGGGAAGACCAGATCTGGCGGGCGGCGGCGGCGGCGGAGAGGGAGAGAAGCTGCAGAGTCAGCGGCGGGGCGGCGGCGGCGGCGGAGAGGGAGAGAAGCTGCAGAGTCAGCGGCGGGGCGGCGGCTGGAGCTCCACTTCTGTTCCTGCCCAAATCCCACACGTTCGGCCGTTCTGAAGTCTGAACCCGCGTGAACAGTACTACTCACTCTCTCCCTCCCTCCACACACGTTTTTCTGACATCACACTTGTAAAAAAAAATGTCTTACATTATGAGACGGCGGAGGATATAGTAATGTTTCAAGATAACTGTTAACGAGTTCAAACAAGGGCATGCATGTTCGGAGCCCCTCTCCCTCCGCGGAGCTGCAGTTGAAAATCGCGGAGCTGCTGTTCTTGCTCTTGGATCACTGCGGAAATAAGCTATTGAACTACTCCTAGAAGGCATTAAGGGACTGTTTCAAAAAAAGAAAAAAAAAAGCATTATGGGACTTTCCCAATCTATTTTAACATCTGTAGCACAATTGTGATACAAATAGCGCACCCACACAATTGGGTTTTGGTGAAATAGTTAGTCAAAAAATGTTCATCGCATACTAAAAAGAGTTCTCATGCATTAATAACTATTCATGATGCACTAAAAAGATTCACTATATATTAAAAAATGTTTATCATTCATTTTTAAAAGGTTACAGTGTAGTTACAAATGTTCATCACGCATTAAGTTTTTCATGACCATAAAAAATCCGTACCATTCAAAAAATATGTTCATAAAATTTAAAAATGTTCGCATGTTAAAACTTGTTCATGAATTGTTTTTAAATGTTATTGAATTTTGAAAAGATTGTTCTTAACTTTTTTGCATGACATATAAAAATAATTCCCATGTATTGCAAAAATATTCAAACATGTATTAAAAATGTACTTACCATGAATTGAAAAAAATCAATGTGCATCCGAAAAATGTTCAATGTGTATTTAAAAAAGAAGATAAAACGAAAAGGAGAAAAGGAGAAAATAAATAAATAAGAAAAGGAAAAGAAAACATAAAATGAAAAACCGAAAGAAAATGAAAATATATAAAATAACACTATTAAAAAATCGGAGGGAGCCTTCCAAAACTGTAACACCACATCCACATGGTCGGGTCATGACCGTGTCAAATCGCAAGAGGCAAGGGCTACATTTGTCTTGCACACAACCTGCACATAGCTTCCCTGAGTCACGTCCATGATCATAAACAGGGGTTTCACATGACTTTAGATCCATTGCAACTGCGAAAGACAGTAGGCAGCACACACAAGTGGCAGCTCCCCATGGCACAACACCCGACTACAATGCCGAGCGGAAGCTATCGTCCTACGTGAGTTCTTCCTCTTTGTGCAATACTCTACTCTTTTTTAATAATGTGTCTTCGATTTACTAATTTAGGCACTAATTTACACTACTTTTTATTTGCACGTTTTTATAGATGAGTGTACATAAAAATAAATAGTTATAATTTTCTATTGGGTCATCGTACCATATGAAAGAATTATATTAATTATGTCTTGAAGAAGATTAATTACAAAGATGTGGTTGAATAATTTATTTAAGACAATAGTATACAAATGATGTTTTCTATTGGTTTTATTGCTTTACCATTCACTTTCAATGTACTATTGATATAGTCACATCGGGGGAAAAGGCGCTTGCCTTGATCTCCGCGGGAGGGGGGGGGGGCAGAACGGTGAACTCACGTCGCTACCCCTCTTTCATTCCTACTATCCTCACATTCGGATTAGGCTAGCGGGTGAAGCCCGTCTTGGTGGACAACATCGGCTGGGGGTGAGCTCCTCTTGCTGTGGCATGTCGACTTGGCTGACATGGCAAACTTGCGGAGTGACAGATCTGGTGGTGTCCTTGCTCAGTGACTCATCAGGGAGTTCGAGTGTGGAGGTTTGGGTAGGTCGGGACTTGGGATTTGATTTGGGGGGAGGACTCACAAGCACTTGCATGTGGTGGCCACGGGTGCCAGCCTCGCCGTTGTAGTAGTCGTCACCATCGCCTTATAGCCATTCCCGCACCTCTTGCCTGCTGGTCGAAGGCCTCGCCTCCTTAGTCTCTCACTATCTCCGTTGATTGTGCTATCTCGTCGCATCCGGGCCTCTTTCAGCATGTAGGTTGAGGCCGTGTTCCGATTAGAAGAGGAGACGCGTTTTGCGCCGCATGGTCAGTGTTGTGGGGCGGTGTTGGACACAGTGATAGTTTCAATCGGTGGAGTTGGATCATTTCCTATTTTGGCCGAAGTCTGTCAACACGGTCCAAATTGCCAGTTTCCTCCCCGTTGAATCGCAAAACTACATATTCATCCCTCATTCTTTTTTTCTTTCCTAAATCTCACATCAATGAAAGAGGTGGACAACATCGTCGTAATAGTCGTCACCATCACCTTATAGCCATTCCCGCACCTCCAGCCCGCGGGTCGGTGGCCTCGCCTCCTTAGTCTCTCACTATCTCCGTTGATTGTGCCATCTCGTCGCATCCGGGCCTCTTTCAGCATCTAGGTCGAGGCTACATTCTGGTTAGAATAGGAGACATGCTCTGCACCGCACGATCGAGTGGTGGAGGCAGCGACGGTTTCAATCGGTGGAGTTGAAACGTTTCCTATTTTTTCGAAGTATGCCAGCATGGTCAAAATTTTCAGTTTCCTCCCCACCGAATCGCAAAACTACAGACTCATCCCTCGTTATTTCTTTCTTTCCTATAAACCCACGTCAACGGAAGAGGTGGACAACACCGTCATAGTAGTCGTCACCGTCGCCTTATAGCCACCCCACTTCTTGCTCATTCGTCGATGGCATCACCTCCGTAGTCTCTCATTCTCTCTGTTGAGTGTGCCATCTCATCGCATCCAAGCCTCTTTCAACGTCTAAGTTGAGGTCGCGTTCCGGTTAGAAGAGGAGACGAGCTCTGTACGACTGTACCGCACGATCGAGTGGTGTCGGACAGTATTGAACGCAACAATAGCTAGTTTCAATCGGTGGAGCCGGATCGTTTCCTATTTTTGGCTGAAGTCTGTCAGCAGGGTCAAAATTGTTGGTCTCCTCCCCACTGAATCGCAAAATTATAGATTCATCCCTCATTTTTCCCATTTCCTATAAACCCACGTCAACAGAAGAGGTGGACAACATCGTCGCCTTATAGCCACCCCCACCTCCTGCCCGTTGGTCGATGGCTTCACCTCCTTAGCCCCCCTCGTCGTCCATGTTGATTGTGTCGGCTTGTCGCATCCGGGCCTCTTTCATCATCTAGGTCGACGGCGCGTTCCAGTCCGAAGAGGAGACGCGCTCCGCACAGCACTGCACGATCGAGTGGTCATCAACGGTTCCAGTTGGTTGAGTTGGATCGTTTCCTATTCTTGGCCGAAGTTTGCCGACGAGGTCAAAATTGCCAGTTTTCTCCCCACGGAATCGCAAAATTACGGATCCATCCCTCATTCTTTTTTCTCTTTCCCATAAACCCACGTCAACGGAAGAGGTGGACAACACCGTCGTAGTAGTTGTCACCGTCGCCTTATAGCCACCCCACCTCCTGCCCGCTGGTCGATGGCCTCACCTCCTTAGTCCCTCGTCATCCATTTGATTGTGCCGGCTCATCGCATCTGGGCCTCTTCC